GTGTGGACGTCCGTGTCTGTGTGACAGAGACAAAGAAATCTAATGTGTGTGTTTTATTGTCTTTCAGATTTTCCACCCTGGTGACCACAGAGGCCTTCGAGGGTTCCAGACGTCCTTCAGAACAACAGTAAGTGTTTTCTTTCTTTTTCTAAAACTCACTTTCACTCTTTTAAGTTAAAAGAAAAGCTAAAAAAATCAGTTTGAAGGTTTCACTTTACAATTCACCTCCATAGAAAAGGAGGAAACTTAGCAGAAAACCTCAAATTCTAAAACTGATGAGTCTTTGTTCTTTAATTGGACAGCACTGGATGGACTGGTGATTTACAGGCTACTGGTTTTGTAAACTGGTGCAGGCTGCTGTTGGTTCTCAGGTTAGTCAGAGTTGTTTCGCGGTGTTGTTTGATAAGCTGCTCGGCAGACCTCCAACCTCGGAGCTGAAGCCTAAATCGCAGCAGGAAGAGGTGCAGCAGGATGTGAGCTCGAAACTTGCTGTAGGAAACAAACTCTGTGCAAAGACAAAACAAACTTCTGCTTCAAAGACAAAAACGGTTCATACATGACGACTGACACGTGAAGCAGGTTCAGATTTTTCCTGCGAGGATGGTTCAAGAACAGAAAGAATAAAACTTTCTTTCGACTTCACCTCTTCTGGTGTGACGCGCTTGTTTCTACTCGACCCCGCAGTGCAGCGTACCAATCGTCACAACGACACAACTTCCTTAAAACAAACGTTCCTGATCCAATTGCTTTCTTTCAGCCTAAATTTTAATCTCAGGACAGACTGAGACATTTAGAACAAGCTAAGAGTCAGATCGAGAACCCGGAAATGTCCGCTGTAATTACGTCATTCACTTTGATGTTTGCCGTGTTCGTCTCTGCAGGTGAGATTTAACTTTGACATAAAACAGGAAGCTGGCTGCATATTAAAAATATTTCCCTGAGAGCAATTTCCATACTGTTCATATTATCAGCACGCTTCACTGTATACGTGTTTATACAAAACACAGCTACTGTCATGCACAGTAATCTCCTCATTTACTGTAGATACTGTTATGAATAATAAGGGTCAAATTTGGAGTTTTAGGTGGAGGAAGCTGAAGTTCAGGTGTAGCTGTGCAGTGTGGGGAAAGAGTGTCCTCTACAAGAGTCCCATAATAACCAGTGTTGTGAGCTCCAGTAGATTTGTTTTCTTTGTGTTCAGGCTGTGATCAGCTGACCTGCTGCTGCTTCTGATGCTTTTCTGCTCTTTGTGGATTAAAGCAGCTACAATCTACAACATATAAGCAGGAGTGA